AGCTACAGAACGGACACACGTCCGAACACTTCTGGCAACCAGTTTCGACTGCATCGACACCTGTTCTGGTGGCATGAACGCAGATCAAGCCCTGAGTCTTACCTGGAACTTCTTGAGCGCAGAAAGATACCTTGGACGAAGACCTAGTCTGACCTAACCTGAGACGACGAGAGAAGCTGTTTGACCACATCCCAGGAGAGCCTGCACCCCACTCCATCATGGTCCCTTGAGTCCAGCTCGAGGTTTTTGAGCATCGTTTCCCGTCAGAGAGAACCTTGACAAGTTTTGGAGTCAACAAGATGAAGGAACAGTCACGAACGAGATCGTCTCGAAGATTCGTAACATCGGGCATGTTCCAACCTACCCTTTAGACACACGTGCGCAGCGCCGAGAGGGGACCTCTGACCTTGGCCCAAACATGGCAATCATGGCTGAAAGTCTGCTCCTATCCTTCCCGAAGCTCGGCCCAACTCTGACTCCAGGAAAACGCTCTCGTGTGGCAAAGCCATATTTCTTTTTTTGCGTAGCGAAGCACAGGGGTAACGCGAATTACATGGGCAACGCTAGCTCGCCAACAAGGGTCATGTTCAAGCAGGCGCAGCACTGACAGAGAGCGGCCCTGCGATCGTGGCTTCACGCAGGCCAGCGAACCCCTCCTAAGCTCCAGGAGCTCTCTGTACGAAACGCCAAAAGTGTCCGACCCGCAAAAGGGCCAGTAACAACAACTTTCAAACACCGCCTGCCAATAGTCTCGCGAAACTTCTTGAGCCTACGAGCCTTGCGCAACACACAGACAAGACGCTTTTCAACAACTCAGCCGCACGACCGCCACCAGGGGGCCTCATAGCCCTGCCAACCGTGGCATCGACTCCGAGATTAACGACCCGTCTCAAGGACTGCCCGGGTCCAGCCAGGGGGGGGCAACTTAGCTAGAATATATTCAGCAACCTCGTTACTGCCAGCAACCATCCCGACCTCGCCTCTGGCCAACTTAACTATATCAAGACCTCGGTACTGCAACGGCGCAAAGCTCGAGCTCCTGCCACAAGCTTGCGGACGACCACCTTAGCTTTGCCATTGCGGCTAAGTCCCAGGTTGTCGATGTACGCATCGAAGTCGAAGCCTGGCATTAATTGTTTCCACGAGAACACACCCGCCTCAAAGTCGCTCAGGCCCGTCCGCCCGGCATGGAACTTCGCGTCCGTGCCATCTGAATGGGTGCAGTCCGAGCTCGCGGAGGGGAAGAGAAGAAAAAGGGGCTCGAGCGTTGTGCGACGGTTCGATGCGGTCAAACATGCCACTTATACAATGTTACTAGAACCACGCGCGCGCATCGCGCGCCCTGGGTGTAGTCTAAAGTGTTCGGTATTGGAGGACATAGAGTGTCGCACGGGTCGTGCCCCTCAGGAAGCTCCACCTGCGGCCCCAGGGACAGCCTTCGCTAGCGTTCCCCCGCCCTTGTCGGCACACCCCTCACAGGGATCGCGCCCCACAGGGAGCTTCACTTACGTCCTCAGAGACGAGACTCGCATAGTGGCACGCCCCGCACGCAGATCGTGCCCCGCAAGTAGCTGCATTTGTGACACGAGAGTGAAGCTTCATGGCGTCGCCCCGCTCACTTCAGTACTCCTCTCACGCGGATCGTGGCCCGCAAGGCGTTCCACGGACGGCCCCAGAGACAAGGTTCGCATCCCGCCCTCCCGCCTACTTCGGCACACCTCTCACACGGATCGTGGCCCACAGGGATCTCCATCTACGGCCCCACAGGCAACCTTCGCACTGCGACCCCACTGGCCTTTGCGGTGTACCCCCATCACGCGTATCGAGTGCCACCTAACGGCCCAGAGAAAAGGTTCGTACAGCGCCCCCCCGCCCATGTTGGCAGACCCGTCACGCGAACCATGCCCAAGAAGGAGCTCCACCTGTGGCACCAAATCGGCAGCTTCGCATTGTGTCCACCCGCCCATTTCGGAACATGCCTCGCACGGGTCGTGCCTGGAGGAGGTCCACCTGTGGCCTCAATGGGCGCGTTCGCGCGGGAGCACCCGAGTTATTCGGCACACCCTTCACGCGGATCATGCCCTACAAGGAATTTTTGGGATTCCGCACACCCGTCCTGCGTAGCGCCCTGTGCTACACATGGCTGCATACGGATGGGTCCGTCGCCAAGCCACTTGCTTACTTATCTATGTCTATGACCGTCGTCCTCGTGGCCGACCTCGTGGCCGTCGCCGTCGCCGTCGCCGTCGCCGTCGTCGCCGCCGTCGTCGCCGTCGCCGTCGTCGCCGTCGCCGTCGTCGCCGTCGCCGTGGCCGTGTCCGCCGGCCGGCTGCCGCGCAGCGCGCGGCCTCGCCGACGGTGCCGTCCGCCCGCCGCGGCGCGGGGGCCGCCGGCGCCGCCGCGGCGCCGCCGCCTGGCCGCAGGCTGGGCCGGGGCACGGCCGGGGCCGCCCCGACCCGTGGCGCCCGTCGCGGCTCCTCCGCCGCTGCAGGGCCGCGAGGGCCCTGCAGGCTGCAGCAGGGCCGCGAGGGTCTCGCGGCCCTGCCGCGGCTCCTCCTCCTCTCCTCCTCCTCCTCCTCCTCCTCCTCCTCCTCCTCCTCCTCCTCCTCTGCCGCTGCGTCCTGTTTCCTCCTCCTCGTCCTTTTCCTCCTCTTTCTCCTCCTCCTCCTCCTCCTCCTCCTCCGCCGCCTCGTCCAAAGAAAATGCAGTCAGCGGCGAGAGAGCCCGGAACCGCTTCCATGTATCCAGCATGATATCAATCATAAGTCTTTTTTCGAGAGTGGAGGAGGAGGAGGGAGGAGGGAGGGTGGGGTCAGCGCAGGGAGGAGAGAGGATAGAGTAGAGAGATGGAAGAGGAGGAGGAGGAGGACGAAGAGGAGGAGGAGGAGGAGGAGGAGGAGGAGGACGACGACGACGACAACGAGGAGGAAGAGGAGGAGGGCAAAGGAGGGCAAAGGCACGAGGAGGAAGCAATCCTCCGTCCCCACTCGGAGCAGCCTTCGGCGGCCCCCACCCCCGCGCCAGCGCCGCGGCTGGCCTGAGGTTCGTCCATGCGCGGCGGGCGGCGCTGTACCAGGGCGAGCCCGCCCCCTGCCCTGCTAGCGGCGGGGGGGAGATGCGGATGCGAGAGAGGCGAGGGGAAGGGGAGGAGGGGGAGAGAGGAGGCCGAGGAGGGGGACCCTACCCTCGTCGAATGGTGGCGCTGCAGCCAACCTCCTGCGGTCCGCATGCGTGCCTCTCCGCGGCCCTGCATGTGCCTCCTTTCTTGCCATATCTTTGGCTCTCGTCTCCTCCTCCCCCTCCTTGCCTCCCCACGTCCTGCCCCCCTCCCCCCCCCTGCCCTTATGTTCCCTTGTCACTGCGCTGTGTGTGTGTGCTGTCCCTCTCTCGTCCTTCTTGGCTTCCTTTCCCCGTCCCCGCCGTCTCTCCGTCTGTCGGCCCCGTCGGTCCATTCCTGTCGCCCTGCCCTCTTCTCCCCCCGCCCTCCCTCCCTTCCTCCCCATCCTGCCTGCCGTCCCCACCCCTACTCCCCCATGTTCCTTTCTTGCCCTGTTCCTCGGCTCCTCGCTTTCCTGGCCCCCCCTCCCCTCCCTCATCGACTTCCACATCAGGACCCCCAAAGAATAACCGAGGTGCGCAAGCAATAACACGTTGCCGCATCGTCTCCGCAACGCCCTCGGCGGCGATGCGAAACCCACGGCTCTAAGCCGCCCCACGGGGGCGGGGCAGAGGCCGCGCACACACAGCACGGAGCAGCTCTACGATGGCACGTCCGAGTATGGCAGCACCTCGTGATCACATGAGCCCAATCTGTGCATACCACACACGACAGCAAAGCGTAGGCCCACATACGGTTACTTGCTGCACGCTAGCCGTGGACGGTCTGATGTGTAACCTGCGTGGTGTGTAAGCCATGTGGTGTGAGCTGGAGTTGTGTAACCAATCAGCGTGGTGTGGGTTGGACTTGTGTAAACTGTGCGGTGTGGGCTGAAGTTGCGTCAGCTACGGAGGGTAATCCACCTGCAGAACTTGAAGACGTCAACTCCACTGATCGCGCAATCATCCCGCCCTCCCACCCGCAGCTTGCTTTGTTCAACCCGTGCGGCCGCGACTGCGGTTACTACATGGCACTGGCTAGCGCATCTCCGTGGCTGCGCCATCGCGCACGAGCTTGCGCGGAGAGCGGCCGCCTGGCTTAGCACTATCGACGCGGCCGCGATGGCGCCTGCCGATGCGACCTTTCCACTCCTGCGCCCCTCACGCCTCGCACGCGTGCCCACGCGCACGCTGATGCGACGGCCGTCGCCCAGGTCATGGCCACGGGCTGGGACCGACAGCCCCAGACCGATGGGAGGCCGAGGAGCCGCTGACGATGAGGACGAGGATTCAAATCCCTGCGCCGCTCGTCGCTCTTACCCGCCACCCACTGACGGCCACCCAAGACTCCCGCACGGCTGGGCCACGTAGCCCCGGCCGCGGCGGAGCAGTCCACAGCCAAACGCCACACGAGACGGTCGGCGATGAGGTCGCACTCTACAAGTCCCTCGCCTGCCGCCTCTCACACGCCCAGCACGCTTCTCCACGCGCACGCTGCTGCCACCGCCGACGTCCAGGTCAATGCCAGTCCCAGAACGATTGAAGGCCGAGGAGCCGCTGACGAGGACGAAGATGACGGCAACATCCGTCCTCCCACAACGCCAGACTCACAGCGCCAGACCCACAAACCGCCCATCCGTGTTGATGCTGCTGCCACGGTCATCGCTCAAAATTCCAGCCCTATCAGCGGCTTCCCCGGCACGGTCAGTGGTAAACAAGCGCCGCTAGGGAACACTGGGTCGTCGTGCCGTGCAACGGGTGCAAGGCCGTCCTGAGGCCAACCAGCGTGGCCGTTGAACACGACGTCCATGACCTCCGCGTGGAGGCTGCGGCCACGGCTTCAAGCACTTCCTAAACTCCACCCTGAACTGGCCGTGAGCCAGCAACCGCCGGGGGTGCAAACCCCTCAGGGCGCTGAGGTGGCGGAATAGCCCACGCGTTTCATGCTGACTCCGCCCCTCGCAGGCGGTGCCTTGGGTCGCGGCCGGCCTGATGCTGCCGGGATCCGGGGGCGACCGTGCCCTCTGGCACGGTCGCTGGCGCCTGGGTCCTTCCGCCCCTTTATCGGCCACACGCAGGCGTGACCCTGGGTAAGAGTGACCTTTGGTGCGCGGCTTTGGGGGGGCCGCGGGGGGACCAAACACAGGCGCGCAAGGCGCTACTGCCGCCTCGCGTTCGGCGATCGGGGGACCCTGTTGTGCCCGCACCAAAGGTCACTCCGGCGAAAGGTCACTCGTACGTCTAGTCGACTTTAGTGCGAGGGGCGACCCTTGCTCCCCCGGCGCCAGCGATCTCCGCCTTCGAGCTCGTCCGCCCAGTGTCCTCCCTGGGTGGGGCAGGCCTGCACGCGCAGAGGCCCCACGCCGCGGCTCTCCCCCCACGCAGGCGCGGTCTGCCCGTCTGCCCCACGCGAACGCTCGCTGCACCGTGCGCTGCGCCGTGGCGGTGTTCCAGCTGCATCGCTCAGAGCTCTTAGAAGGAGCGGCCGAGCGGGGCGCTAATACCCCCATCGGCCCGACAGACTCTGTCCGGACTTGATGCCGGCCAGAAGGACTGTCCGAACTGAGAACGTAGGGGGGCCCAGCGAACTGGGCCTCGTCTTCCGCTGGGTGCTGCCAAGCCCGCAACCGTCGCTACTTTGCCGCGCCCCCGGGGGGCCCCAGCGGGGTGGTGACACGAGCGGCGGTGGGTTTTCTTTGTTCTAGGCGTTCTCATGCTGATCCATGAGGTTCTTGAATATACACAGCTGGAGATGCAACACACATTCATGCATGTATGAATGTCTGTATGTGAATGTATACATATACAGATGTACGTACGTATACGTGTGTCAATACAATACATATGAAGAACGTGTGGAATTATTTATATATACTAGAATCATTGCGCGCTTCGGGCGCGCTCAAGTTCTAGCGCATGCCGTGGGGGTGGTTCCACAAGCGAGTGCGGCCGCTGGATCGAAGAGCAGAAGGAGCCATAATCAGTGTTGTTGTCGAGATCATAATCGTCATCATCATTATTATCGACGCCATTCAGAACAATGTGGTCCTCCTCCTCCAACTCCTCCTCCTACTCATCATCATCATCATCATCATCATCATCATCATCATCATCACCATCATCGGCATCATCAGCATCATCATCATCATTATCATCATCAGCATCATCATCACCACCGCCATCAGCATCAGCATCAGCATCAGCATCAGCATCAGCATCAGCATCAGCATCAGCATCAGCATCAGCATCATCATCATCATCATCATCATCATCATCATTAGCACCATCCTCATTTTCAACAACAAATCATCATCATCATCGTCATCACCATCATTACCTTATCCGGGAGCATCGTCGAAAACAGCATCACCATCATCATCGTCATCAGCACAGTTATCATCATTACCATCATCATTGTAGTAATCATCACCATCATCGTCGTCATAACCACCATCATAATCACAATCGTCGTCATCGTCACGCGACCGCTCTCTCGCGTGACTTAACTGACTCTGCTGTGGAAGCCCTCTGGGAGCCCTCCACGGCCGCGCTGGAAGGCCCCAAAAATAACTGGGAAGGGCTCCAGGAGGGCCCGAAGTGGGCCCCAGAGGGGCCTCAAGAGCATGGAAAGGAAAATCAAGTTTTTCCCCATATCCTAAGGATTGGGGTTTTTGTTATTACTCTGACGCCTCCCACTGCTCCTCCTTCCTCCTTCCTCCCGCTCGCGCCTCCCTCCTCCCAGTGATAATCACCAGATAAGACAAGACAAGATAATATACTACAAGATAAGATAAGATAGCACAATATATGATAAGGTAAGATAAGATATATGACAAGGTATGATAATAGATAAGATAAGACAGCCTATGGAGTAATAGGATAAGACAAGATATGATGCGATAAGATGAGCTGATATAAGATTTCAAGATAAGATAAGATAAGATAGAGGGTAATAAAGGTAAGATAAGATAGGACTCGATAAGATAAGATGAAACTCACTCTCACTCAGACTCACTCACAGTCACATTCACTCACACTCACACTCTCTCATGATCACAAAACGCTGCCAGGGGCATCACTTGGGAGCCCCAAGGGGGAGCCACCCTGGCTGATCTCACGAGCCCGTTCGCGCCGATTTTGGTGGGACGTCTCAGCTAAATTGCCGTTTGGCCTCCCCAACATGTCTCTCTTGAGAGCCTCATGGTCACAAAACGCTGCCAGGGGCATCATTTGGGAGCCCCAAGGGGGAGCCACCCTGGCTGATCTCACGAGCCCGTTCGCGCCGATTTTGGTGGGACGCCTCAGCTAGAATTGCCGTTTGGCCTCCCCAACATGTATCTCTTGAGAGCCTCATGGTCACAAAACGCTGCCAGGGGCATCATTTGGGAGCCCCAAGGGGGAGCCACCCTGGCTGATCTCACGAGCCCGTTCGCGCCGATTTTGGTGGGACGCCTCAGCTAGAATTGCCGTTTGGCCTCCCCAACATGTATCTCTTGAGAGCCTCATGGTCACAAAACGCTGCCAGGGGCATCATTTGGGAGCCCCAAGGGGGAGCCACCCTGGCTGATCTCACGAGCCCGTTCGCGCCGATTTTGGTGGGACGTCTCAGCTAGAATTGCCGTTTGGCTCCCCAACATGTATCTCTTGAGAGCCTCATGGTCACAAAACGCTGCCAGGGGCATCATTTGGGAGCCCCAAGGGGGAGCCACCCTGGCTGATCTCACGAGCCCGTTCGCGCCGATTTTGGTGGGACGCCTCAGCTAGAATTGCCGTTTGGCTCCCCAACATGTATCTCTTGAGAGCCTCATGGTCACAAAACGCTGCCAGGGGCATCATTTGGGAGCCCCAAGGGGGAGCCACCCTGGCTGATCTCACGAGCCCGTTCGCGCCGATTTTGGTGGGACGCCTCAGCTAGAATTGCCGTTTGGCGTCCCCAACATGTATCTCTTGAGAGCCTCATGGTCACAAAACGCTGCCAGGGGCATCATTTGGGAGCCCCAGGGGGGGTCCACCAGGGGCTTCATAGTCACCAAACGCTGCCAGGGGCAGCATTTTGGCTTCCCAAAGAGGAGTCGACCCGGGCCTCCTAGTCGCCAGACACTGCCAGGGGCACCATTGGGATTCAGACTCGCACCCAGACTCACTCATACACAAGCTCACTCACACTCAGATTCATTTCTTCAGAGTCAGGCACACACAGACGTACCCATACTCAGACTCACCCACACTCAGGCTCACCTAACCCAGACTCCGTCAGAAGCCAGTAGCGAAGAGAGCAGAGAGGAGAGAGAGAGAGAGAGAGAGAGAGAGAGAGAGAGAGAGAGAGAGAGCGGGAGAGAGCGAGAGAGAGAGAGAGAGAGCGCGCGAAGCGCGAGCGCGAGCGCGAGCGCGAGCGCGAGCGCGAGCGCGAGAGAGAGAGAGAGAGAGAGAGAGCGAGCGAGCGAGCGAGCGAGAGAGAGAGAGAGAGAGCGAGGGAGAGAGAGAGAGAGAGAGGAAGATAGAGAGAGAGAGAGAAGGAGAGAGAAGAGAGAGAGAGAGAGAGCAAGAGAGAGAGAGAGAGGAAGCGAGAGAGAGGGAGAGGAGAGAGAGAGAGAGAGAGAGCGAGGAGAGAGAGAGATAGAGAGCGAGAGAAGAAGAGAGAGAGAGAGAGAGATAGAAGAGAGAGAGAGAGAAGAGAGAGAGAGAGAGAGAGAGAGAAGAGAGAGAGAGAAGAGAGAGAGAAGAGAGAGAGAGAGAAGAGAGAGGGAGGGGGGAGAGAGGAGAGAGAGGAGAGGGAGGAGGGGGGGGGGGAGAGAGGAGAGAGAGAGAGAGAGAGAGAGAGAGAGAGAGAGAAGAGAGAAGAGAAGAGAGAGAGAAGATAGAAGAGAGAGAGAGAGAGAGAGAGAGAGAGAGCGAGAGACGAAAGAGAGAGAGAGAGAGCAGAGAGAGCGAGAGAGAGAGAGAGAGAGAGAGCGGGAGAGAGCGAGGGAGAGCGAGAGAGAGCGAGAGAGAGCGAGTGGAGAGAGAGAGAGAGAGAGAGAGAGAGAGAGAGAGAGAGAGCGAGAGAGAGCGACAGAGAGCGAGAGAGAGCAAGAGAGAGCGAGAGAGCGAAAGAGAGAGAGAGAGAAGAGAGAGAGAGAGAGAGAGAGCGAGGGAGAGAGAGAGAGAGATATAGAGAGAACGAGAGAGAGAGAGAGATAAAGAGAGAGAGAGAGAGAGAAGAGAAGAGAAGAGAAGAGAAGAGAAGAGAAGAGAAGAGAAGAGAGAGAGAGCGAGAGAGAGAGAGGGAGAGTGAGAGAGAGAGGAGAGAGCAGAGAGAGAATAGAGAGAGAGAGAGAGAGAGAGAGAGAGAGAGAGAGAGAGAGAGGCAGAGATAGAGGCAGAGAGAGAGAGAGGCACAGAGAGAGAGGCAGAGAGAGAGAGAGGCAGAGAGAGAGAGGCAGAGAGAGAGAAGAGAGAGAGAGAGAGGCAGGGAAAGAGAGGCAGAGACAGAGAGAGGGCAGAGAGAGAGAGAGAGAGACAGAGAGAGCAGAGAGAGAGAGAGAGGCAGCTCAGTCACACTTAAATCCAGATTCGTCCTCACCGAGTCCCACCACCAAGGGAGCGCCAGCAAGGAGATGCACATATGGGGATCCCCACGCAGTGAATAATTCAGGCCCTCTGGAAGCCTTCTGGGCTCTTTCTGGGGGCCTCTGGGGGCTTCAAAGGGCTACCCTGATTCCAAACACGGTCTGCCTGAACGATCGTGTCACGATCTGGAATGCTTCGGGGGGCGTCTTGGGGCCATCTTGGGCCGTCATGGGGCCCTCTTCGGGTCATCTTGAGGCCCTGCTGGGCCGACTTGGGGCTCTCTTGGACTGCCTGGCAGCTCTCTTGGGTAGTTTTCTGGCGATTGTCTGGCCCCCTGGGCGGTCTCGCACGCTCCGAAGACCGCAGAGCAGAGCGGCCGCCCTCCGGACCGAGATGGGCTCGTTGCCTGGACGCAGCAGGGGCGTCCAGGAGTCACGGAGAGACTGGGGGACCTTATGCAACGGCGTCCAGGGCGCCCCCGGGACCGCGGATGATGGGAGTCTCCCCCAGACTGTAGAACCATAGATAAGAAACCATAGTTGGGTGCCTATATATACACACATATACATACATACATACATACATACATGCATGCATGCATACATACATACATACATGCATACATACATACATGCATACATACATACATACACATATACATACATACATAGATACATGCATACAAACAAACAAACAAGCACACACATACCTACCTACCTACCTACCTGTCTACCTATCTACATACATACATACATACATACATACATACATGCATACATACATACATACATACATACATATACATGCATACATGCATACATGCATACATGTTTACATACATACATGCATACATGCATACATGCATACATGCATACATGCATACTTGCATACATACACACATACATACATAC